GGCGCACGGATCGGGCACGCGCGTGGAACGGGCGCGGATCGCGCGCGCGCGCGTGCAAACGTGCCCACACACGCGTGTGCGCGGACCAGGCGCGCACACGCGTGAGCACGGATGCGGCACACGTGTGCAGGGATGAGATGCACACGCACACACATGCAAACGTGCCCGCACACGCGTGTGCGTGGACCGGGTGCACACACGCACATGCACGGATCTGGCACACGTGCACACGCACACACACGGATGTGGCACAAGTGTGCACACACGCATGGCCCATGCATTAAGCACACGTGCACACACATGTACGGGTCACATGCACACACACACACGTGCACAGATCAGGCAAACATGCCTGCACACCCGTGTGCATGGACCAGGTGCACACATGCACACTCACGTGCATGAGCATGGATGTGGCACAGCTGTGCACACGTGTGCAGGGATGAGATGCACACACGCACGTGCACGGATCTGGCACGTGTGTGTGCCCACACGTACATGGATGCGGCACAAGTGTGCACACGCGTGCATGCATGCCTCATGGATTAAGCACACATGCACAAGTCACATGCACACGCACGCATGCGTGATCAGGCAAACATGTCTGCACACAGGTGTGCATGGGACCAGGTACACGTGCATGGATCTGGCACGCGTGTGCATGGATGTGGCACACGTGTACACGCACGCATGCACCAACACATGGATTAAGCACACATGTGCACAGGTCACGTGCACACACATGTGCATGGATCAGGCAAACATGCCTCCACACACGTGTGCGTGGACCAGGTGCGCGCGTACACACACACACACGTGTGCATGGATGTGGCACACCTGCGCACACGTGTGCAGGGATGAGATGCACACACACATGCACGGATCTGGCACACGTGTGCACACACACGTACATGGATGTGGCAGAAGTGTGCACGCACGCAGATGCAAACACACGGACTAAGCACACGTGCGCACACTCACGCATGCAGACACACGGACTGAGCACACGTGCGCACACACACGCATGCAGACACACGGACTGAGCACACGTGCGCAGGCCCCCTGCACACGGGTGTCCACACGTGCACGGACCAGGCCCACGCACGGGGCTGGCAGCACCGTGCACACCCGCAGGGGTGCAGCCCCGCGGCGATCGCGCACCCGCGCAGGGATCAGGCACACGCGTGCACCCCCACGTGCGCGCACTCACCCACGCGCGTGTGCACAGATCAGGC